GAGTTGTCACTTCTAAATCTGGAATCCTGAACATGTATATTGTATAATCTATAAGAGAGGATGAATAGGTGATTCTGAAGTTGATAAGCTCTAAAAAGAAGGCCAATCAGCAAGAAGAGATACCTTCTGCAAATTCAACCAGTGTGAAGATTCAAGCAGGATGACTTGCATATCTAATATCTGATGAAAAATCTGATTTGGATAAGAAATATGAACCATTGGAAGAAAGAACATCAATTAATATTGAAACAGTTGGAGAAGCTAAGAATAATCAAAGAGCTAAGATTGTAATGTCTTATACTCAGCATACTGAATAATTTATTACTTACCAGAATAATCAGACTAGTGTTAATGATGATATCATAAAAGACATTGAACTGATCAATCAGAAGAAGCCTGAAATTCAGAATAAGTCTGTGAAGAAACAAAGATCAAGATATTCTGCAACAGATTGCTTATCCTCTCAGATCTGTAATTTACTGGATGCCAATGAATTAATGGGTCAAATTCTCAATGGAAAGGTCAAATTATCAGTCAAGAAGCTTATAGATGTATTACTGAAACTTTATTAAGTGTTCTTTGGATCAGGCTGGAATAACAGTACTAGCAAAAGCCATGCAAAGATTGGAGTCTCCAAAGCAGTTCAGCCTGAGCTAAAGATTAATTCTGGTTAACTTACATCAAAGCTCATGGTGCCAAAATCTAAAACAGCATATAGAATGCATTTGTTATATGCACCAGTCACTATAAATCAACAAGAATTAATGGTGTTGATCAATACTGGTTCAGAAATTAATTTGTTGTCTCAGAAGTATGCTGAAATGTTGAATCTGCCAATAGAAAATAAGCTGTGAGTGATTATGATTGTTCAAACAGGAGAAGTCACTTCTTTTTACATGTTTTGTGACAAAGTGCCTGTTTAAATTGAAGATATTGTTACATATACTTCTTTTCTTATATTCAAGAAAGAAAATCAGCAACTTATTCTTGAAAGATCTTGACAATTTGCTGTCTGTTGGGGGTGCAATATCTCAGAAGACAGCAGAGTAAACTGTGAAATTTATAATGAGGAATGAATGTGTTGCCTAGTTTTTGAAGACTTTAAGCTAAACTCAAGCAATATAAGATATGTAACTGATAAATTAAACAGTAATCATTTAAATAATTCAACAGGCATTTAATCAGATGAGTGCCTGTGGATACAAGACCTGAGAAGAATAAAGAAGATGTGATAAAGATGATAGGTATAAGAATTAATAATAAAAAGGTTGAAGATCAGAAGATTAAAAAAAATAGAAAAGTTAAGAGTGTTGGCAGCATTGCCAGTATTGGTGATTATAGTGATGAGAAGAAACATAATTCTGGTGTTGATAAATCCAAAAGCATGCTAAGTCTAATCAGATTAATCAGTGTGCTGATGAATCAACTGGACCAATCAGAAGACAAGAATAATTTTGTGTTGGAAGTTTGGATTTTCTAACTACTGCTTTCTGATCCAGATAGTGTCATGGCTCACTGCAAACATTACACACATGATATTAATTCCAGCTTAATTTAAAAACCTATTTCACAAAGTGCTTGATCAATTTATGCATCTCTGAACAAAAATTATGATTTTGTTATGAAGAAATCATGTCAGACAGATATTTTCAATAGTAAATAAGATATTGAGCTGTCTTCTTCAGAGATTTGAAGAGTGTGTACTGCTTATAAGTGAAAAGCTGATAAGATAAGACCATTAGACCTGGAAAATCTGATGGAAGCAAGCTGGAAGACCTAGATAATTAAGTAGATGTTTGTTTGAATAAGTATTATTCTGAGAAGAAACATGTTGTGTTTAATTGTGAATTTGATAACTATATTAGACCTAGAATTATACTCTTTTCTGTTGAAGAATGACTAACAAATAAGAGAATTGAGAAGCTCAAAATTAGATTTGAACTGACAAGTCAGAAGAAGAAATTTTTTATATCAGTTCTTTATAAATGTGAAGAGATGTTGGCTTGATCATTCAAAGATCTATATAATGTTCATTCTGAATACTTGCCTCTTCAGATTATTTAAACAAAGTCTCATAAGGCTTGGCAGACTAAGACTTACTGAATTTCTTATACTCTACATAATAAGCTAATTAAAATCATTCAAGACAGATTAGAAGCTAAAATGTTGGAGTCTTGCCATAGTTCATATATTAATTCCTATTTTCTGGTTACAAAGAAACAGAAAGACAAATATTGTTTAGTTAACACAGCACATATGTACAACAAAGTTACTATTTAGAATGCTTTTATTCCTTCTAATATTAATGAATACACTGAAGACTTCAGTAAACTTGTTATGGCTAGTCTATATGACTTATTCTCTGAATATGATAATTTTCTATTAGCTGAAGAAAGCAGAGATATGACAGCTATTGCAATCCCTATTGAGTTCTTTTGCTATATGACTTTAGTTCAAGGGGCAACAAATTCATCAGCTCAAGCCCAATACAGAATAATAAAGATAATATATGAGGTTTTTCCAGAGATTGCTCAAGCCTTTATGGATGATCTTGAGATAAAAGAATTGTGTGTTAAAGATAAAACTGAAGTCCTCTCAGAAATAAGAAGATTTGTTTATGATTATCTGCAGAATCTGAACTATATTCTATAACTTGTCAAAATTTCTGAAGCCAGAATCTCTGGTGCCAAATCTCAATTCTGCATGTCTGAAGTCAATATTATTAAATGAGTCTGTAACTATAATGAATGATGATCTGAGAAAGCCAAGATGGCTAAAATTGCAAATTAATCTACTTCTATAAGTGTTACAAAATTACAAGAATTTCTAGATCTAGCTGGATATTTCTGAATACTTATAGAGTATTATAGTTGAATAGCTGAATCTTTACATTATCTGCTTTAATGAAATATTATATAGATATGAACTGAAGAGCAAAATAATATCTTTATGCTTTTGAAAGAAAAGTTATGTTCATTCTCTATTGTTCTTTCAATTAATTACAAACAAGATTCTTTGCTTATTACTGTAGCTGTTAATGCCAGTGAATTAGAATGAGAAGAATGCATTATTCAGAAGTAATAAGAAGCTTGACATTCTGTATAATATGAATCTGAAGTATGAAATGATTCAGAGAAAACATATAATACTGGCAAATAAGAATGTAGAGCTGTTTTGAAAGTCTTCAAGAAATTCTGACATTATATATATAAAGTGTTCTTTACTTTGGAAATTGATGCAAAAACTCTTGTCATCTAACTTAATAGAACTGCTATAGATGTTTCTGGAGCTTTGATTACTAATTAAATAGCTTGAATATATCTCTTTGACTTTACTGTTAAACATGTTCCTGAGACAAAACATACAGCTGTTGACAGACTGTCTTGTTGAGAGCTAGATATTAAAGAACAGACTAAATCTGAAGAAGATAAAGATCTGTTTATCTTTATGAATTCTATAAGAGTTTTAGCTGGCTGAGCTCTTAATAGTAAAGACCTTAGAATACTGGACTTCACATATTCAGAAGAATTGAAAAAAATTGCATGATATCTAATCACTCTATCAAAATCATTAGACATGAAAGAGAAAGAGTACACAAAATTCTGAAGAAAGATAATTAAATATGTGGTGAAGGCCAATTAATTATTTAGATGAGTGGAATCTGGTGTGTCTCTAAAATATATTATAGACAACAAAAATCAGTATGAATAAATTTTACACATAATGCATAATAAATTTAGTTATAAAGAGTAAGAGAGAATATACTCTGCTCTACAAGCTTGATACTGGTGGTCAGGAATGTATAAAGATGTGTCTACTTATGTAAAGTACTGTTCTCAATGTTAACAAAGAGATTTGTAAAGATTGAGTGAAGAGCTTTATTCTATCTGGGCCTCTATCTGTTAGAAGAAAGTTGGAATGAATATCAAGCACATGTCTTTCTGTTGAGAATAAAATTATTTGATTATTGTCAGATATGACTTCACTGGATGGGTGGAAGCTAGAGTCTTGAAAAAGATAACAGCTGAAGCTGTGGCCAAATTTCTTTATAAGAATATCATCTGTTAATAGGGCCTGCCTGCCAAATTTGTTATGGATGGAGGACCAGAAAATAAGAATGTTGTGGAGACCTTACTGAAGAAATTCAACATTAAATGCATTGTTATTTCACCCTATAACTCTTCTGTAAATGGTATGGTGGAAGTTGGCCATAAGCCTTTGGCTGATGAGCTAGCTAAAGCTACCAATGGCACTGGAAGGGATTGGATTAAACATCTTCCTGTGCATCTGTTGGAGGCTGGAAGGTTCTGCCCTTTGATAGGCCAGTCCCTTTGTCCCGCCTCTCCCTTTGAAGTCTAGCTGACCCTTTGTCATCACCTGTGCAGCTAGACATTCCTCCAATAGACGATCATCCTTCCAACAACATCCAAGAGAATCCCCAGGCTTCCCACCCATTAACTCAGCCGACAGCACAACCCAGAATCACTCAACAAGGCTCAAACAGAAACTGTTATCAGTAAGGACCTTCTTTATTATCCACGAACATGTTACTTTCTCCGCCACAAAGTTCCTGCCTTATGCCAAATGGCCGTGAGATGTAAGGCACAATCCCAGACACGTGGGATAGTGATGACCAACCACCCCAGTCAATGTCAAGATCAAGATAGCTGCAGAGTTCCTTCAAAATTACACAGTTTTCTGACTTGGCTACTTTTATTTTCGAGGAACAGTCACAGTTGAAGAGGCCGTACTGTATAGCCTTTGTGAACATCACCAGCGTGGTTGCAGATCGAGAGCTCAAAATTTCTACGACGAGCACAACGATACTCAAAATTCTCAATTTTGGGTTATCAGGTATGACGAGGTCCCTTATTGGCTATGGACGTTATTATATCCATGGATGAGAAGATGCCAAACCCCAAATTGCTAGTGTATTAGAACAGAACATGGTGTTCCCCCTCTAATCACCTCCCCATCACCATCCATGCGGTTTCGGAATTCTAGTCAGCTTTCTCCCCGTTCTTAAGGTTCTCCTTCCCCTGTGCGATCAATTCGTCCAGTACACGATGGTATTCGGCATTTTTGTCTTCAGCAGCCGTATCGAATTTGGCTGTGGCCAGTTTTGCGTGAGTGGAGTGTTTCTTAATCCACTCTTGGAGCCCGGGGCTTTGGGGTTTCGAGTTGACTTGCAAGACAACATTGAGCAACTTCGTCATGGCGTCATATTTCGCAGCATCGACACGGACAGGGATCTGGTGATCTTTGGTCATCGACGGGATGATACGAGTGCCTTCGACAACATGCTCGGTAAATTTGCCTGGTGCGTTTTTTATATTTCTCAGCTGAGTTTTGGCAGCGTCAAGGGCTTTGGACATAGTGACAAGACAATGAGATCCTGCCCAGGTAATCGGACAAGGTATCTGAAGTTGGGATGTAGTAGACGTATTCAAAAGCAACAGGAAGAGAAGTAGAAGCAATGGGTGCAATGTTGAATGGGTCCATCCTCCAGGCATTCACCTGTCCTTTATATGTTGTCCAGACTAAGTAGTCACATTGCTGCATCCTGCAGTGAGCCTCAAACAGAAAAAGAAATGTTGAGATTCACGTTGGAGTCAAAGCACAAGATGCTCTGATCCCACAAATAGAACACTTCCAGTGCTTCTGCAATGTGATACAGGGCTAGTCACACACTTGATTGGACAACCATGGCGCTCGTTCATGTTCCACCTTTTGTTGGCACTTGCATTCACCTGCAAGAAAAGGTCTGGAATGCTCTGGGATTCCAGGGGCGGAAATGGCGGTTGTGTTTTGATTGGCCTGTTGAATAATTGTTGCCTGAGCTTCTCAGCCAAGCACTTCTTTCTGTTGGAGACAGTTAATTGGCAGGCTCGTTAGCGAGGGAAGACCAATTATGTGTGAGGGGCCGTTTAGCTGTCACATGACAAATCTCTTGGCCACATTTCTTCCACAACTAGCAGCTTTCGCGCCTGTGCTCTGGAAGCTAAGGCCCTTGTATGGGACAAATTTGTCCACTTGCTGATGTTTCTCTTGCGATGATGATGGCTCTGCGATGCCGCCACTTGCTTTTTTGCTCTTTAAACAGGCCAACACTCGTTCAGTGTGGACAAAGTGGTCAAACTAGTGCACAACAACTGAATATCTCACAAGTACCAGCCGCAGGGCACCCATTCATGGAGTGTGAGTTCCATCTAGCAACTCCTGCCACCAGGTCTATCCCCATACTAATAATGTACTAAAGCGCTATTCGCCTACACTGCCGGTCGATGGCTACATCTTGACCGTCAACAGCGCGAAGCACGATATCTCCAGTTCAACTTCCAACGCCTATGTGAGAAGGTACTTTCTCTCTGCCCTTCCGCTACATCGATTGAGAGCTGCCAGAAGCTCGAGGGCGGCTTTAGCAGAGCATTTGTTATCACAGCCAATGACGGCAGGCGTGTGGTTGCAAAATTTCCAACATCCGTTGCTGGCCCGGCCACACACGTCACAAACTCAGAAGTTGCAACAATTAGTTATTGTAAGAGAACTGATCCCAGAAATTTTTAGAAATAGGGTGAAGTTACTGACTTGCTGAAACAGTGCAACAAAAAACCAAAATACCAATTCCAGCCATTTTAGACTGGAGCGATGACCCAACCAACCCCATTGGTTCGGCATACATTATCATGGAACATGCAGGTGGCATTTCTTTGCAGCACATGTGGCCCAACATGTCATTTTCCCAGAAAATGAACTGTATTAGGTCAATCTCCACGAGTATAATGGAGATGTCCGGTCTTGATTTTCCAGCATATGGCAGCCTTTATTTTGCTGATGCAGCATTACTTGATTCTGATTCCAAGCAAGAGCTCTCTGATCCGAAGTACTGCATTGGCCCGCTCTGCAGACCCACATACTGGGATTGTAATGTTGGGGAGCCGAGATATTTTGCATTCAAGGGGCCAAACAGGGGACCATGTGAGATACTCTTTTGTTTTCGCCATCTGATTTGCATTTGCTGATCTTGTCCAGGGCGTGACCTATCCTCATACTCCTCAGCTTTAATCGATGCTGGTCTTGCAAGGCTGCCTCTAGCCGACAATCCCATTACACGTCCACGACCATCTTACCAAGGCTCTGTGGACAAACATCTTGAACTTTTGAATTTGGGTCGCAGTGTATTCCTGAAGCTGATACAGCATCCCCAAATACAATCCAATGCTGCTCCAACTATTTTTCACCCTGACCTCCACAGAAGAAACATCTTTGTCTCTGAGAATGATCCCACTGTTGTGACCGCGATTATTGATTGGCAATCGACATGTGTTGAGCCGGCATTCTATTATGCGGACGATGTGCCCGATTTTGCGAAGCCTTTCTTGGAGAAGACATCAGAATCAGAGGCTGCCACTGAGGACAATCTTTGCGCTCAGGCTTTTGAAGCGGGGTTAGGCCTTCTAGCTCCGCGGCTAGCGGCAACAAGAAAGATTGACGAGACTCTTCTTCGGCCGTTCCGCTATTGTCATAGGACATGGAAAGATGGTTTTGTACCATTCACGCATGAATTGATACAGCTGAGGGATCGTTGGCAAGTCCTTGGCTTTAAAGATGACTGTCCTATTCCAGCCTTAGGCCCAGATGAGTTGCGTGTTTATCAGGAACAACTCGAGATATATGACAAAATGTTGTCTCTCAGGCAGGATATCGTCGAGATCTTAGGAGTTGAGCAGGATGGCTGGGTCCCTGCAGACCGCTGGCAAGACGTAAGGGCGGCTCATCAGCAAGTGTATGCGAGTGTTATGGGTGCCATGGAGAGCGAAAAGGACTATGAGGATATGAAGATGATGTGGCCGTTCGATGGTGTTCAACAATCCGCCACTTAGATGGGGAAAAGAGAGAAAAAAGCGTGTTATGTACAAATGATTAAGGAACGTTGAGCTCCGTCCTCATGATATTGCGCTAAGGATAGCGAAGATAAAAGGTGGGGCGAAAGAAGACCTTTTCGTCTCTGGTCTCTCGTCTCGGGGCCTGGCATTAGCACCAGGCTTTCGTCATTAGAGGGCTTCCATGTATGTTTGCTGTGAAGAATATGAGCAGGTCTCGGTCTGCTGTTTCCTCCACTGCATGCAGGAGCTCGTGGCCGCATTCCAGGCATCTCCAGGGTATGTTGCAACTCGAATTGATCGAGTGCGCGGCTTTCTAAAAAGATGCACAGACAGATGTTGAATAGTGCACCGTCAAGCCCAAGTTGCTGAGTGCCTTCATGAAATGCACACCATCGGGATGGTAAAGCCTGGGCCGGTCGGTGGTTTGGCAGGTCTCGCGACAGGTGCCAATGGAACCTGTTGTTGTCGCCACCGCAAGGTCCAAGCTCCAGGTTGCCCATTCTCGTCCTAGTGTTCTCAACGGAGAAAGGTTTCCCCAGCCTTTATTTTCTTTAGCATCAACCACACCCACCGCATCCAGTCTCATTATCTCCTGACAATAGACTGAACCTCATACCCAGCAATGGTCTCTGATTTTCTTACCAGCAGCTATCTGCAGTACAAAGCAGATACCAATGCGGTAGCATCATGGCTGGCAACAACGGCCAGGAAGTGTGGCTACACACTTGGCACGCCGACAGCAAGCCCTGAACCCGCAAGCACCGACAACCTCCACCAACCGTCCAAACGGCTCAAAGGCAAGGCAAGAAAGCAGGCACGTGCAGGCAAATCTTCCCAGGGTGCCCCAAGAGGTTTTACTTCCTCTAACAACTGCTTGGTCGATGAATTTCCCACCATTCACCCCAGCTTGGATCATTAGCATTGAGAGAAATGAGACTCACTTTCTAGCCTTGGTGGTGCGGAAAGGGTTTGGAATGGAGGTAGAGGAGTCAAGATGTTGTTTGGCACTCAATGCGGGGAATTGCTAATCCAGATCTGTGTATGAGTGTCAACACCTCAAGGCTTAGAGGCTGCCACGTTTGCTGAAGTGTTGCTGTTGTTGATGCCACTTTTGGACTGTTACACTTCTGCTGCTGCCCAGCACCTCATCTTCTTTAAGCTATCAACCTTCTGTAGAGTTACCACAGCCTCCATCTTGCCACCTTTTTGTCCTCTACTTCTACTTCCTACAGCAGTCCGTTGTCTCTCCTGGTGCCCAGAATGCCCTACACAACAGAGGTGTGTTTATTCTGTATTCCCAGCTTCTCAGTTAACTAAATGGTCAATCCAGATTCCTTTGCAATATCGGGGTGATTGGCTTCCTGGCTCCCTTCTCGCTTGGGCTAGAGACCTCATGGCCATTGGGTCCAAACGTCTGGCTGCACTCCGAACAGTGAGCGATCACCAGGCTGCGCGCATCCATGATCTTGAAGGTAGGCTTTCCACTCCCACTAATTTTGTTGGATTTATTAGATGACATTCTTTGGTTGATAGAACTTCTACGTTCGCATAACATCGCCTTTCCTCCTTCAACCCCTCTTCACTATGATCTTGCGGTGGATACCCATGAAATTCGCCCTCTGCAGCAAGGAGATGTGCGTTATTTCAGGTGGGAGATAGAGAAGGATTTTGCGGCTTTTGCCTCTGCGCTGGAAGAAAACAATGACGAGGTGGAGGGTGAGATGGAAGGTGAGATGGAGGACGAGGAGGTGGATACTGACTTTTGTGTTTAACACATTCTCTCTCTTTTTTTTTTACATTCGCTGAGAGTCCTCACTACGAATAAAAAAAATAGTGCCTTTTCTACTGTTCCCAATCAAGGCCAGTGGGTGCTCGCGCCTGTCCCAGCTCAATACATCTGGGGAAGGGAGGCTGTAATGCTTGGCGCAAGGCACTAGTGGAATAATTGTTTTTCCAGCCAAGGTCTCGCCTGCTATCAATTCCTGCTCACGTGATGATTCCCCAATGCCTCTCTCGCTCGTTTTGCCTGTGTGACCCTGCTCAGTAGATCTTCTCCCCCACAATCTCATATTTCCCGTGGCCAACACGTATTCACAAACCTCGGCAAAGTTATGATCGGCAAGAGGCGTTAATTGTTCAAAGATAATTTGGAACAAAGGAGGTTAAATGCGTGAAGTCAAGACTCTGAAATGCAAGAATAGAGTGTTGTAGATAGGCAGAAGTACACTTTTACATGAACTATCAGATCATCCTTGGACGTATGCCACTCTCTCAAATGGATCAAAATTGTTTTGTGGACTAGTCACTAAGCCAGGGAAGTTCCTTCCTGTCACCTGGGAGCCACTGGACCATCTTGCTTGTAAACACCAACAATCTTTCTCCATGTGGGCTGCTCTTCCAGCCCATGGACCAAGCTGCTGTATGACATTTCAATCAAACCAGATGTATCCACCTAAATCTCAAACTCTAGCATCAGAAAAGCATTCAATCTTATGTAGTATTCTTAATTAGTCTGCAGGGCCTTACCTCAAGCAGTGTTCCCTTGTGTTTGAAATAATCTACAACTTCAGGATTCAGTTTTTCATATTTCATGTACCTTGTGTTGAAGAGCACAGCATCCTCCAACCTTCCTGGCAGATCTCAACTGAGATAATACTCTTTGACAATGCTTCCAGGGCAGTTGCAGAATACAACAATATCAAAATACTATAGCTAATGAGAGTCTAGCACAGACCTCTAAAGGCATTGTTTCAAGCATACCTGGCAGTCTTCATATCCATATAGCTGCTCTGTGCTACAGGGAAAGCCATCAAGAATCACTGCAGCATAACTATTCTTGTATTCCATTCTGATCTTTGCCTTTATCAAAGGAGCCAGAAATTCAATAGGGAATAGTTTGCCATAGTGAAAGTATTCAATAATTTGCTTCTGGACTGGGCATCAGTCATTCTTTAATAAGCTGCGCAGATAATTGCCAAGAGAGAAGTGGAATAGATCATAATCTCAAGCAAGTTTCTTGCACAGAGTGCCTTTGCCAGCAGCCAGTGGCCCTGCCTAGAATTAGTCAGCTGTCTTGTGCAAGATTATACAATTATCCCTTACCAAGAACACAGATAATTGGAGGTCTTCCCTCATGAGAGATGCGCGACTCCATGACTAAAAGATGGAATGTGAGTATGGATGTGGGCTTGCTCCGAGTTTGGCATCAGCAGATTTGAAATGGACAATCATTCTGGCCCTCCTGCTTTGTAAACTTGCATGTTGCACATGCTCTGCCTCTGTTAGCCAATAATAAACTGAGCTCAACATTCTGGCACACTTACCTTCCTTGCCCCACCCAGAAGATCCCTGTGAGGTAGTCTCTCACACCTGTCCCACATCTTTGAACTTGAAAGACAAACTCAGCCAGCATCACATCATTTCTCATTAAGAGTGGTCTTTGGATTTCTTATTTCAACAACCTCTAACAGAAAGTTGAAAGACACTCCATTGACAGCTAGTAGGTGTATTTCATACTGGAAAGAAACTTGCAATCTAGAAAATTTAAGATGAATATTGCCACTAACTTTGACTTTTTAATAGTTTATCTGTCACTCTCAGAAGGTTATGTCACTAGCAATAGCACTCTCTGAGATGCTGAGACATGCTCTTGACTTCTATAATACTAGCTGGCTTCTTCTTCTGGTCATTGTCTGCATAACTACACCATCTTTACTTTATAATTTAAAGCACCTCTCTCAAACAACACAATCACCAGTGCCTGTGTCTGTCAACTACTTTCCTACATAATTATGTAACAAAGCATGTGGTTTTTGTTTTCACATTGACAAGACATCCTACATACTTTCTGAGAAAGATGCAAAGAGAGGACTTAAGAAGCTTGTTGAAGCAGGCATTAAAAAGCTTAATATTGCTAGAGAGAAATCATTTCTGCATTCAGTTTTTCTTGATCACATTTGTCAATATATTAAGAAAACTCTTCATCTGGAATCTGTATCAATTGTCACCAACAGCAGCAAAGTTATCAAGAAGTGGTTGCAGAAGTACAGAAGATTCATTAATATTATAGCAGTTTCCTGCAACTTCTTTAATGAACAGACAAATATTGAGATCAGACATAGAAGCAGTGACAATGTTCAGCAACTTCACTACATAAAGAAGTGGTGCCAGCACTATAGTATTAAATTTAAGATAAACACTGTTGTTTGCAGCCTCAATTAGCAAGAGAATATATCTGAGATAATTGAAGAGCTGAATCTATTTCAGTGGAAATGTTTTCAGGTTCTGCTGGTTGGTAGGGAAAATGATAAAAAGAGTGCAAAAAAGCAAGACAAGTTGTTTGCAAAGTTTGCTATCACAAATAAGCAGTTTGAATTATTCTGTCACAGGTACAGGCATCTTGAAGATTAATTCATTCCAGAGTCTAATACTGTGATGGCAAAGAGCTATCTGCTTCTGGATGAGTATACAAGGTTCATGGATAAGAGTAATGGTGTTGAAAAAACATCAGAGTTCATTTTGAATATAACTGTAGCAGAAGCCCTGTCACAAGTGGAGTAGAATGTGGAAAGTTTCAAAAGATGTGGTGGAATATATGACTGGCAAAGAGAGATACCACAATCTGGGAGAAATTGTGGAACAGTGGAAACAGAACTTGATTGGTAATGGTATTGGTATATTGAATCTAGAATGGATATCTGGTTTGCATAACTAGAGCTTGTTTGGGAAAGAGAGTAGTCATTGCATTTTCTAGTGGATTGATCTGTAGTTGACTACACATATTGTCTTCTGTATCTTGTCTAGTTATCCAGTGGGAATTGGATCCAGTGCAGACTGAAACAGGAATGTAACATGAAATGGTTGCAACATGAAATAGTTGCAAAGCTCTATTGGAGTGCACTGGATGCTTCTCAGCTGGCACTTCTCTTCAGGAGCAGGATAAATTCCTGGGGTAGCAAACATGCATGTCCATGCAAAAGAAATAAATAGCCATTGAAGTGAGGTTCTGTTGGAATCTCTCTTTTTGATCAATAAGCAGCATCATGGCAAAACATTCAAGATCAGTCTTGGCAGGTGGCAAGACTTTACCTCTAATTCAGTCTAGCTCCATCAATTTGATTGCTGCAATAAGGACATGGGCATTGCTGCTGGACAGAATGCAATGGATGTCAATGAATGCAACAGATACAACAGATGCTACAGAAAATTCAGACTGGCAGACAATTGACAAGTCTTCCAGGGAAACTTTCCTCTGTTGACACAAACTACCAAGCACCCCTCTGCATCCTACAAAAATACTACTGAGCATGCTAGAATGAGAACACTACTTGAAAAGAATAGTCAAGAGGTCTGTAAATTTTACAGTTTGGCTATTTCATTACAGTACTAAAAGCAAGAATATTCAAAACAGGCCACCTCCAACTTCAAAAGATAACCTCTGTGCATCCAATCTGCACAGTACTGACATCTGATCCCACAGACAATGAAGAATCTCTTGCAAGATAACTCCAGCAGCAGAACATTAGAACTACAATCTTTGTAGAGTAGAACAGGGTACTAAATTTGACCTCCTCATTAACAATCTTCATTTTTTTACTGCTTGAAGACAACAAATTTTGATCTGGAATAAGATTAGCCTGGAAATATCTCAACTCCATAAAAGATATCAACATATCCACTGTCTGTCATCTAATCTCTGTCAATAGTAAGTTCCTCTCTAATAACAAGCCATCCAGTAGTAGTTCTCTCCAGTTCAAATTCCAGCTCATCATCTTCCAGAAGGACTCTGCACTTATAGCCATATCTTTATAAATTATCTCTATGCAATAAAATACCTCTTGAGCAAAGGAGAACCTTCTCTTCAGTAACACATTACAGATGGACAGAGCTCACACTGCCTAATAAGAATGAAGAGCTTTTAATATGTGAGGAAAAGTTCATCAAGACACACTTCTTATAACACTCATCTTCCAATCACAAGACAAGCAAGAGACAGTCAAAATACTTCACTTTCTTTAAGATCTGAGTGTAAAAGAGGTAGTCATGGCCCTTGCATTTGTTATAGACCAGCAGGAAAACTTCTCTTAAAAGAAACTCCAGAAGGTGCTTAAAGAGCTTTGGGTTCCTATTAACAAAGATAGAGCTATCTTCCTGCTTGTCAAGGCACCATTTTCCCAAAAACATGGCTGTGAAGTACTCACTACATTGAGTCAGCATTTCAATAGTTGTTGAGAAGTGCTGGTTGCTCACTTGAAGCATAACCCTCTTGATAGGCTTCATTATCTATTTCCAGTTCATGAGGAAGGTAAAGATAAATATATCAGTTTTTGCACTTCAGAATATTACCTCAGAGGTTACAAAGTGATAGGAAATCAAGGATAACTCACTTGGGAGAGTAAAGATAGAGGGTGTGAATAGACAACTTTTCTTTTCTTACCAAGTAAATAGAGTGATGGAAGTTAGATGTGGTAAGAAGCAAGTTTTTGCAAACTATATATATTGGTAACTGCCTTGGTACTCACACAGTTACCAATCTCAGAGCTTAATATAGCTCAGAACATGGCAGTGGATCACAATCTTAACCTTCAGCTGATCTTTATGGACCAAGTTCCAGACCCATATGGAAGCTGTGAGATTAAGACAGATATCTCATGATGGAAAGGTCTCTGTCATTGTCCTTTCTTAATGTTTGAAGAGCATGACACTGTAGATCTTGGTATCAGACATGCCACCTGAGATTGAGAATTTGCTTATCACAAAAGGGACAGGAGCTAGCAGGTGTATTCTTATACTAGTGTAGACAAGTGACTGGATTGCCATAATAAGCATACAGCTGCCCAAAGCTTATGAACATGCAACCCATATTTTAGCAAACATCACTACTGGAACAGTACCACAAGAATCTACTGGGAAAGAACAGGGTACCAACTGGACCATGATAAAGACACTCATGGACAGTGTGAAGATCTAGGTCAACAAGACTGAGAACTAGGCAATGAGTACTGAAATGGGCTCTAATAGACCTATGTACCCTAAAGGTTCTGTTCAGTTCGGGTATCCAGTGGGAGTACTGCTAAGTTGATCACCAGAAACAATGGAATCAACTCTCTGCTTTTTCAGATTTCTACTTTCAGTTTGAAACTCTTCTTTCCCATCTTCAATAGGAGCTGCAAAGCTCCATTGTGCATCCTGATACTCAGTTTCATTGGACATGGTCAATGTATCAGAATTCTGTAAAACAGCTAGACTTGAAGCTGTCTGGTGTTGCACTTGTTCACTACTGTAATAAATTCATCCCTCATTTTCTTTGTCCAATTGTGAACATTTCAGTATGCAGCAAGTCCTTGACAAAAAGTGTCATATGTGTCAGTCAAGGAAAATGATTGAAGCTGAGTTATAATATATTCAGAATGGCAGTTCAGAGCTCTAGACTCTGCAAGATGAGTAGCATATAGCTTGAGTTGACCACCATGGTAAGTTAATGTAATAGTGTAAGTGTTGTTGTTATAGATTAATTTATCTTGTCAATACATCTGAAGTGAATGCATGCCTCAGGCCCCTAATGCACCATTATAGCAAGCTTGCCATGTAGCTACAGTAAGGGATCCATCAGGGCTGGCTATAGATATCCAGCTCTCAAGCAAATAGCAGAGTCACAGCCATCAAGCAATGATTCACTCAGAAAAAAATCAGCTCTTCTAACAGCTTCAAAAAGCTGTATTAAGGAAAATACTGACTTTCTATGGCCTCCTTACCAAATGATGGGATACTTGAATTTCAAGATAACTTAACACTACAACAATTATGGAGAGATCAATGTTTTAGTCAAGGCACTCTTCCATTCCACCTGCCTCTCCCATGCTGGCATTGCCCACTTTACAATATACTTCAACTCCAAGAGCTGTTTCACAGTTGGTCTTTCTGTCAGTTCAAACATCATTATAGATCTCAGCATATCCTCCAGGGCTTTGAACTCTCCAGCAGCAACATTCCATTGACAAGTCTCCAGCATCTCACCCCAACCCATGTCCTATATATACTGATGCAGACACCAGAATTCAGGCATGCTGATGCACTGAAAGTTGGAGATCCATGAACCATCTGGATTGAAGAATTCAGAGCAGTTAGCCCAAGCAGCCCACCATCTTGCAGGCATATCACCCAGTGTATTAACCATCTCAGCAATAATGTCATCCGGGTCTCATGCAAATGTTTCAAATAATGGGTGTTCACCCACAGCATTATACAGAACAACTTCCAGTGTCCAGATGTCAGCCACTTTGGAGATTGTGATGGGCTTGTTGAAAAATTCTTCTGGTGGTCTGCAGAATGGAGTTGGGTATCTGGAGAAAGAAAGCCAACTTCTGTTTGTTGTGGGATATATTTTCATGGCTATAATGAACACCAATAAACTAGGGAAAGCAATAACCAAAAAAGTGAAGCTGTGAAGAGTAGATTGCTGATATGCACAGCTGAGGCAGTTGACAGTATGATTCAGAAAGGGGGCTCAATGATAGCAGATACTCTGTTAAAAACATGACTATGATATTGAGTTTGAGGAGGTTTAATGGAGTATTGTTTGATGAGTTTCTCCCAATCCTCTTCCAGATTCATTTTCTCACTCATACTTCCAACTTCCAGGCAATGGCGAAATTGTTGGTTCTGGCAAGACAGCCAAAACAGTCATCTCAAGAGGATACAAGGATACCCAGCTTTGAATGAAGAAATGTGGTGCCCGATAGTTTCTCTGGGGGGATATCAAAGTTTGTGAGGTGCAGGTTTGCCTCAGGGGAGACAATTGAAAATTGATGGCCCACTGGAAAATGTGGTGCCCCTAGGGCAAAAAGCTTGTTCTGGGGTGGCAAGCTGCCTTGGGACAGTTGAAATTGAGAGAGAAAGTAAGTGGCTGCACTAGGGTGACAACCTGCCCTGGGGAGAGTCAGAATATATGGCCGCGGTGGCTATCCCCAGGGCAAAAAGTTGCCTCAGGGGCTATTGAAGAAGGGCACCTTTGTTGCTGAAATTGTGGCCTGCCTCAGTTGATTCAGAATCCTAGGGCCAAAAATACCTCAGGGACTAGAAATGCCCTGAGGAAAGCCATCTTTGTTGCTGAAATTGTGGCCTGCCTCAGTCAATTCAAGAATTCTGGGGCCAAAAATGCCCCAGGGACTGAAATGCCTTGAGCGCATGCTTGCCCTGAGGGGAATGGCCTTGGCTGGAAACAAGTGGCTTGCCTCAGTTATATCCTCTGCCCCACAGAATCAGATGTTTTTGAACAGAGTATGTTTTTCTGAACCTGTGCCCTGGGGAGTTGGGAATTGTGACCTTTGGCTTGAAATGCATGGCCTGGAATATTTTGCTCTGGAGAGCTGGAAAAGCTGTGGCTTTTGGTGTGAAAAGGTGGTTGCCCCAGGGGAGCCTGATAATTGTGGGCTTTGCTTGGAAATACATTGCTTCAAAGCTTTGCCTGGAGGAGCCCAGAAAGTCATGGCTTATATGAGAAATAGGTGGTCTGCCCTGGAGAGCCTAAGCTCTGATATAGGTTTGCTGTTTGCCTTGGGGAGTCCCTGGAGCTGTGGCTTTTGGTATGAAATATGTGGTTTGCCCTAGGGAGCCTGGAAAATTGTGGCTTTTGTGTGAAATATGTTGCTTCCAAGCCTTTGCCTTGGAGAGTCCTCAAAGAAGTGGCATTTGGCATGAAATATGTGGCCCGGAATCCTTTGCCCTGAAGGCTGTGTCATATTAATCTCTTTTCAAATGCCTGTCACAGACAGTCTCCAGAATGTGGCAGGTCCTGTTGTGGAATCAAGGCACAGGTGTAAGAACAGGTGTGGCATTTGAAAAGAAGGTTGAAATGGAACATGAAGAATTTTGAAGGATGGAGCCTTGGATGGGGTTTTGCCAAATTACCAATCTCAACAGGTCCCATTGGGACCTATCACTCTATTGAATAAGGACTTGGCTCTGTAGACCCACCACTCCCTATTACTGCCAGAAAAATGGACAGTTTGCTTTAGAGAGCTGTACTGTATAGTTTTAGAAGTCAGAAAATCAAAAATGGTGGTCTTAAAAAGAGCCAGAAAGCCAGAAAGCCAGAAAGCCAGAAATCCAAAAGTACCCAATTGCATAGATTATTATGGCCACCAATACACACCCAATTAGAGATCATTCACCTGGCCAGTTACTCTTGCTAGTGCAACCCATTTTTGGCATTGCAGTGGGCCACAAAAAGAGGGTGCCAGAAATGGCCTCTTCCATCTCCCAGAGCTACAAAAAGAGAGTGCTAGAAGTAGTCTCTTCTATAACCTAAATTCAGGCACCCACTACATTCCTGTGTTCCAGTTCAACAACAGAATATTACTCTGGAGATGCCATCACAAAAGATTTTCAAAGTTATGAAGCTGTGTCAGTTCAACAATTGGTCAAGCTTGCAACAAAGTTGATGCTGCTTAAAGAAGACTCTGATCAAAAAGCTATGGGAATATAATATTAAGTGTGGCAGTGATGTCTATCTTGTCATTGCTGATCACATGGGTGATAATGTGGTTAGATTTTTTACCATGAAGTTCATGGTGCACCAACAGTTGACTGAAGGTTTCCCATCTTCAGAAAAAAGTCTTGTATGCTGCTACAGTGCTTGTTCTTGAAAGATCTCTGCTGACAAATAATAGAACAGACATTATCCTCCCCCAAAGCAAATAATATCAGAAAATTATTCAAAGTCAGAAAAGCACTCAAGAGCTACAGAACAGAGCCAACATGCAATGAACCAAGAGACACAGAAGTCTTACAGACCAGATGGGTCAAAGTCAAAAGAGATGGTTTCACCAACAAAGCAGCCTATTGGGCTGACTTAGAGGAATAGTTTGTGGAAACCAAACATCAGCTTTATAGGCAAACTGTACAAAATCTCAGTTCTGGAGTTCACAGGCAATGGAAGCTTTGGTCTAGGAGCTTACATGGACAATAGGTATATAAGGAGGCTTACATCTCCAGGGATGGTTTTTGGTTGATCCCCTACTCCTCTGATTACTCTTACCTACAGATAGCATACAATTATCACCCACCTGGTAACCTGATAGGGAGGCCTGTTTGGAGGTCTTCAGGCCCTCTCATGTTCTGGTCTTTCTGTTCTGGAGGCATTCTTGTCCTATCATTCCCACTCTGGTTGTCAGGGACTGGGGTCCCTAAGGTGCTGTGGGCAATAATAATATGTCATCTGGGGGTCGTGGCAACCAAAGGCTCTAGTCCTCAGAAGGGGTTTGATTGATACCAGGATCCCTTGGGCAGCTTGGGCTGAGGGTATATCAGAGTTGACAGGGGATATGACTGAAGAACAAGATGCGCAAGATGAATCAAGTAACAAAGGTATAAACATCCTCACAGATTCAAATATAGAGTTCAAAGTAGCCTATAATTCTCTAGCTGAGTCCAAACATAGGAGTATAGCTATTGATCCAGGTATTAACAAAGAACCATAAGGGTCCTTCTCCTGGGGCAGGAGCCCCTTTATATACATGATGGCTGTCATAGATTTCATAGGCAATCCTAAGATGCCTCATCTTAGGTATCATAGTCAGGCCTATAATCACTAAGATCTCCATCTGAGCCATCTGAGTCCTGGCTCAGATGCCTATAACCGGCTCAGAATAACTATTCTCTGCTGCAAGCCAATTAATGGAGGACTTGTATGCTTGTCATTTGCTAAGCTACCTAAAGGGGAATCTCAGCTAATCTATGTGGGTCACGTGAGCAAGGTGCTAGTTGGATTACCTAACACCCCCCCATGCAACAAGCTCCAGCAGTGAGCAAGAGTCACAAAGATTCAAAGCTTCCAAATCTCTCAAATCTGTAATGAAAATTAATTACAAAATTCAGATTTATTCCTTCTTTAGGCTTAGCTCTGTTTGCTGTAATATGGTATTTTTGCCAGCTTTACTGATAAACCTCCATATTTTCCTGTATTAACCCATCACCCCTATCATGCTCATGAATTGAGTGTAGGGATTCATTGCAAGAGCCTTTGTGAGCCTGTCAGCTTTATTTGCATTGCTTCCAATGTGCTTGATTGAGATTTTGTCCTTTTGCACCCAGTCTCTTAGCATATGGTGCTGAATCTCAATATGGTGTGCTCTTTGTGTTATAGCTTCAGCTTTGGCTAAGTCAATGGCTTTCTTGTTGTCAACACTTAATTTTAAGCTTCTTAGCTTTGCTGAGCCTTCACTAATTACCCCAGCATCTATCAACAGGTCATTGATCCAAACCAGTTCTCAAGCAGCTTTGCTAGCTGCCAAATACTCCACTTCAGTCATAAATTTCAAGACAGATGTCTGGTGCTGTGATCTCCACAAGATTGGAGCTCTGTTCATGGTAATAATATAGCTGCTGGTAGATTTGTACACAGAATCAGCTCCAGCCCAGTCAGAATCCAAACTGGCTGCCAGTTTCAAGCCTTCAGAATTCATATCCCTTTTGAAGACTATTCCTTTCAATTTTGTGCCCTTGAGGTAGTGTAAGATCTGCTTGAACACCACCCAGCTCTCCCTATTGGGCCTGCTGTTGAATCTTGCCAGATAATTGACTGCAAATGCAATATCCAGTCTCATACATGTAACTAGAAACTGTAGAGAGCCCAGGTCTTTCCTGTAATTCATAGGCATAGCCTGCTCATCAACTTCATCTTTGAGGGTCTGATCTAGCACAAATTCAATGCTTATTCCTTTCTTTATTGACATTTTGGAAGGTTTGCAGTCTTCCATTCCATATTCAGTTAGTAAATCCTCAATATACTGTTCCTGGTTCACAAAAAGGTCTCTATTTGGCTGCTTTTGAACCTGCATGCCTAGATAACAGCTCTGTTCCATAACCTTCTTGATCTTGAAGTGTTCCTGAAGCTTCTTGATGAGCCATTCTGTTTTGGCTTTGTTAGGTCCCATTATACAGCAGTCATCAACATGTAAAGTTAGGTAGATTTGCTTCCTCTTGTGGTAGAGTAGGCCCATGTTGTATGGAGAGATCTGGAATCTTAGAGATGTCAGATAGTCAGTAGCTGCTTGATACCAGAGCCTAGCAGCTTGCTTCAACCTGTAGAGTCCCTGGTGTAAGAGCTCTACTAGATTACCCTGCCTGTACTTGAATCCAGTGGGTAGTTGAATGTATACACATTCATCCTCTGGAAGAATGCCATTTAGGAAGGCTGTCATAAAGTTAAAGACTCTGACCTTCCAGTTCTTGGCTGTTGAGATAGCAAAGAAGGCTCTTATTGTAGGTCTACTGACAACTGCTGCATAGGTCTTCTTGTAGTGAACACCTTCTTGCTGTTCAAATCCACATACAATCCAACAGGCTTTGAATCATACTGTGCCATCTGTGTTGTTGAGCTTCCTATCAAATACTCATTTGCTAGAGAGAATCTGTATTTCAGGTTCCTTCTCAACTAGGATTCAGGTGCCTTTTTCTTGTAGTTTGGAGACTTTAACATCTACAGCCTTCTTCCAATAAAGCCACTCTTCAGAGCATTTGGCTTTAGTGATGGATTTTGGTATGTCTGTACACATGCTGAGCACTGGAAGCTCAGCTCCATTTACCTCTTCTTCTTCTGTCACATTCAAGAGAATTTCTTGCTCTTCACCCAGGTATGTGGGCTCTAAAGCCTCTAATTCACCATCCACAAGCTTCTTCATGATTTCTGGCTTCTCCTTTGCAAGGTAAGCTAGTAGCTTGTGTTGCCAGCTGTTCAATGGATCTATATAATCATACTTCTCTGGAAGTTCAATGTATTTGGCTTTGGTTAGTGAATTTGTAGGAATTTGATCCAATTTCTCATCAAATATAACATCTCACAAGATCATTATACTGTTTGTTTCTGGGTCCCAAAGTCTGTAGGTGTGCATGCCACAATATCCTACAAATTTGATCTTCTTGGACCTAGGTTGGAGCTTTAAGAATTCATTCAAAATCTTCACATAGGTGTCACATCCCCACCTATGAACCCATCTGCAATGGGGTTAGTGACTTGTCCAGGCTTCAAAAAGTGTCAATGGCTTCATGTTCTTGCATCTGTATAGAGGCACTGAGATAGGCAATAGATTTACTATTATAGAGACTGTGGCAAGAGCTTTGTCCCATAACTTATTGGGAAGTCCTGAGTCTATAAGTATGCTTCTTGTGTGCTTGCAAAAAAGTTGTATTTCTTGTTTGCTTGTTCTATCTTGTTGAGATGTATATGGGCACATAATCTCCTGTTGTATACTCTTGCTCCTGTAGAATTCAGCCAATTGTTGGCTTGTCAATTTGGGAGCTCCATCAGACAGTATAGTGCTAATCTTTCATTCAGTAGATGCTTCAATCATGTTGATCCAGTTCTTCAGAGTTTCTGGAGCTTCTACCCACTTCTTCAGGAGGTAGATCCACCTGTATCATGTGGCATTGTCTGTTATAAGTAGGAAATACTTCACTCCACCATAGCTTGGAGGATCAGAGTCTGTGAATAAGGTACAGCTGCCACCTGCAATATCAATAAAAATTTTAGCTCTAGGCTTTGTAGAGCATGTTCTAGGTTCAAATGAATTGTGAGCTTGCTTAGCTTTAGCACAGATTTCACAGAACCCTACCTTCTTTACTCCCTTTATTCACATTGTCATTCTCAGATCTCTAGCTAAAATAGCTATATCATGGGTGTTGAGATGCCCCCAGCATTTGTGCCAATTGGCCATCATATTCTCCTTGATTTCTGGTGTCTTTGCCAGGTGATTCAGTGCCAAAAGCACATCATCTTTATTCTCTAGAGTTGCTGTTACATAGCAGGGCTCTAGAAGTTTCATAGGTACTGAAAACACATATGCCAGTAAGTTGTGTATTCTAGATGTTTATAGGACTAGAATGTCATTCTTATTAAGTACAGCTTTAAAGCTCTGCATTTTATCTGCTGATTCTAGTAGAAAGACATGTTCTCCATCAACATAAAGCTGTTCCACTGTAAAGCTGTCTCATATAAGCTTTCCAAAGCTTATGAGGTTAACCTGGAGGTCAGGCATAATTCTAACCCCCCCAATACTCAATTCACCATTGTCAGTTTAGATACTGGCCATGCCAAATCCTCTGGTGACTGATTTTGAACCATTTGCCATAAGCAGTTGTGTTGCATGGCTCTTTGTGTCCATTTGAACTAGATCTGTACATGAGATCACATGGGATCCAGCTCCAGAGTCAAGAATCCATCTGTTTGTGGATTCACAGGCTTCTCTTGTAGAAAAGGCTGCTTCATAAATCAAATGAATCTTGTCTGTTGCAACTGTTGTTGCTTCCTTGCTTTTGCCTTTAGAGTCTTTCTTAGGCTCATTAGACTTTGTATTCTTGTTAGATCTGCAGAATTTAGCTAAGTGGCCAGGTTTGCCACAGGTATAGCAGTTCCAGTTTTGTAGTGAGCTCTTCTCTGGATTGGATTCAGAGTTTGCATTCTTATAAGATCTTTGGGGATCCAAGCTTGTTGTTGCATTTGTATTTGGCCTTGTAGATGCATCATCTTTCTTCTGGCCTTTCTTGAAGATTCAGTGAAGGATATCCTTCAATAGATCTTCCAAATCCTTCTCCAGTAGATTTGTTCCACTCTGGCATGCCATATCAAATCAGTTCTGTATGAACTCTCTTCATTGAGATGTAATATTCATCTTCAAAATATCATGTAGGGTGTGGTCTAGTTGCTTGAACCCTAATCTCTCAAATTTTCTACAGATTGCTAGAAATCTCTCTATATAATTTCTTTCTGAGCCAGCAGACTGTAGTGTCATTCTCACTAACTCTGTCAATAGGCTTTCCCACTGTATTTCAGGTCTCTCTTGGAAGGCTGTTCTTACAGTTTCCCAGAGTTTGTAAGCACTAAGACTATCCAATTCCTCAAAGTATTCTCTGGCTTGTGCAGATATCATACTGTTAATTAGGCTGTGTAGTCATTTATTCTGAACATTCTAGTATTGTGAAATCTTCAAGTTCTCTGGCCATGGTGAGATCTCTTGTCTTTCCAGAATAATCTTCTCAGTATCCACTTGACAAGCTATCTTTAGGATGGCTTTGCTCCATGCTAGGTAGTTGCTGGCCCTGGCCAAGGTCATAGACTTCTTTACCATTTTTGAGATCTTCATGAATTGGGTGATTGCTCTGCTGGTCCACATATTCATGTCTATAAGATTGCCAACATATTCTTCTAGTTCATTCTCAGAGTCTATCTCTCAGTTCTCTTCTTATTAAGCTTCTTGCTCTGGATTCTCCTGCACTGTTACAGACATATTTGCAGTGCTTTCTTGGCCTGACAAGAGACTTATTTACTGTGTCAGCTGTTGCACTGTCTTCTGTTGTTGCAGCATCATTCTGCACAATATTTGAAGTTCACTCTCCTCTCTAGGCTCCTGCTCATCATTTGGCTGGTCACCTCTGAGCCTACTTGATCACCTAAGCTTAGTTTGAGGTGTAGAGAGGTTTATTAAAGCCTTCTGGTCAGGGGTTCAGTGCTCCAGTTCATCCATACAGTTCACCATGGCTTTGGTGTTGTCAGGTGCTTGATTTGCTTGCTAGATGTGTTTAGCAGGCATTTCACTCACTCTCTGGTTGAGTGCCAGAAAGCTACAGGGTTCAACTCACTCTTCAGCTCAGTGCCAGAAAGCTACAGGAGTTTACACATATAGGAGGTGTCCACTTCAACATACATTCTTTTTAGTGCTTGTAAAACCTTATTATCCACAAGAATAACCATTCAGAGTGTTGATCATAAGCTTCAATATCCAATTAAGCTGTAAATCAATCTTATATGCTTGCTCTTCAGCACAAAGGGCTATAACCTGATGGAGAACTTGTATGCTTGTCATTTGCTAAGCTACCTAAAGAGGAATCTCAGCTAATCTATGTGGGTCACGTGAGCGAGGTGCTAGTTGGATTACCTAACACCAATAAACTGCCTCTCTGCAACTGTGCCGCACTCTTCATGAAACCATTTCTGGCGTACCACCTTATTGGGTCTGTAACACTGGTATTACAATTCTGCATTAATCTGCATAAAGCATTCTCTTTCTAGCACTCTCTAGCACTCTCTCAGTTTGACTTAGAAAGCAGGGACAGTATTATCTTTACTTTGTTCATCTACAGTGTAATCTTCTGATAAAATTAATCTGAGAATCAGCTTAGGAATACATCTGGTTTAACCCAGGAAGCTCTATTCTAGTTCTTTCTGCATGCTAGAGTTCAAATCTTTAAACTTATCTTCAAGCTGTATATAGAAGAATTCCACATCCAATTTCCATTTCTCATTCTTGCTGGCAGTGCTTTTGAAGGTCTCATTCTGGAACCAAATAATATAATCTGTCTTTGTTGTTTCTACTTCAATAATCTTGACTTCTTCAGTTGATGTATTCTTCTGTAGGATATCTGTAATCTGAGTTTTTACTTCTTCTGCTGGGAGGTATCTTGTGAGGGATTCTTCATTGTCTATAGTCTCAGAAGTTGGTGCTGCACTGATGCAGATGCACAGAGGGGGGTTGTTCCACTTGTCTTTTGTTGTTGTAGGTTCTGCAGTGGCTGGTAGAGGAATTGGGGGCTGGCTGTTTGTTCTGTTGGCAGAGGCAATTAATGCCCATGTTTGCTGGTCTGGTTTATGTAGCTGGGTTTTCAGGGTAGCTATTTCATCTTTAAGGCTTGCATTTTGCCTGATTAGCTCTTTCTAGTCTGCTTTTAGCTCTTCACAGCATGTTTTGAGAGCTTCCACTATCTGGCCTTGTTGTGCAATTGTTTCTTTCAGTTCAGTTACCAGCCATGTAATTTCATCAAGTTTGCTTGGGTGTTCATCATTATTGCCTGTGAATTTGATATCTGGGGTTCCATTTAGCCAGATGGCTGTGACAGAGTTGGTTTTCTTTCACTTGTGAGTTGATTTTTGTGTTTTTGGTTGGGTTGTGATTGTTGAATTAAGGTTAATCCATGTTGCATCTTCAGTTTGTGGCTCAACACTTGGTTTGTTTGCCACACTTCTCAACATTAACCAAGTCACCACTGCCAGCAGGACCTGATCTATCTCTCTTTCAATATTTTCTGGCATCCTTCAATTGGTGGAATGGAAATCTCAAAGGTTTGGACCTGAAGGATGCCAAGAAAATGGTGTAACATCTTATTTCTTGTGCATGATTCAATACTGGTTTGCAACCTTTTGCTGCTGCAATCCTGGGAGCAACACCTCTTTTCTGGGAAGTGTCTCTAATTCTGGATATTCTCCAGGATCCAGGAAGACTCCCCAGTGGAGAGATGCTTCCAGAGAGAGATGTGCTCTCTATCTTTCCCAGAATGAGGCTAAGCAATACAGAGGAATACTAGAAAGAGATTGCTAGAGGAGAATACTAGAGTGAGATTGCTAGGGTGAGATTGCTAGGGCAAGATTGCTAGGGAGAGATTGCTAGGGAGAGATTGCTAGAGAGAGATTGCTAGAAAGAGATTGCTAGAGAGAGATTGCTAGAGAGAGATTACTAGGGAGAGATTGCTAGGGAGATATTACTAGAGAGAGATTGCTAGAAAGAGATTGCTAGAAAGAGATTGCTAGAGCAAGATTACTAGAGAGAGATTGCTAGGGAGAGATTGCTAGGGAGAGATTGCTAGACAGAGATTACTAGAGAGAGATTACTAGAAAAAGATTGCTAGAAAGAGAATACTAGAGAGATATTGCTAGAACAACATTGCTAGAGCAAGATTGCTAGAGAGAGATTGCTAGAGAGAGATTACTAGAAAGAGATTGCTAGAGTGAGAATACTAGAGAGAGAATGCTAGAAAGAGATTACTAGAAAGAGATTGCTAGGGCAAGAATACTAGAGAGAGATTACTAGGAAGAGATTGCTAGAGCGAGAATACTAGAAAGAGATTGCTAGAAAGAGATTACTAGAGAGAGAATGCTAGGAAGAGAATACTAGAAAGATATTGCTAGAGCAACATTGCTAGAGAGAGATTACTAGAGTGAGATTGCTAGAGTGAGATTGCTAGAGTGAGATTGCTAGGGAGATATTGCTAGGACAAGATTACTAGGAAGAGATTGCTAGAGAGAGAGGCCAAAAGAGTGCTGTGATGCAATGGAAAAAGAGGTCTGAAATGGACCTCCTTTCCCAACCAATCAGCTTATTGTGCCAAGGCTCTAGTGCCCAGGCTCTCCATAAGAACCACAAAGGCAATAATGGGCTTGGCACTGGTTTTCCAACTCCATCTGGAGATCAAGCCCTCCCTCACCAGGCTGGTTTTGTCAAGAGAGCATGCATCATTCTTCATCAGCAACTGGTTAAAAGATATTCTTGCCATACTCCTTGGGCTTCCATAGCTTCTTACACTGCCTACACTAGTGGCAACTCTGAGTGGGCAGGTTATCCCATGGCAGGCCACTCCTTTTTGCTGCCTGTTGGCTGAGAATCCACTTATTGCTGTTATCAAGCATCACTTGAAGAGGTTCTTGACTTCTCTAGCCCTTTCCTTTCAGCAATCAAACAGGTGCAGGCACAGGCAGTCATAAGCACTTTTCTCAATCACTGTAAGCCATGGCAGAGCAGCAAGCCATACAAGAAGATCTTTCTTGTTCACCTGATATATGAGCAATACTGCTCAGTTGATCTGTTTCTCCAGCAGTTTTTTACCTATTTTGATGCCTTCTATTGTTCTAGTGGTAATACTGCTATACAACTATTCTTTGAGTGAGGACTAGCCAGATGTGCTGGATTAAGCTCCCAGTCTCCAGCAGCCCAGAAGCAGGAGGAACTTCTTTGCAGAATACTTGTTCAACAACTTCTCCCTCTCAAGTATGTGGACTCTGACTATTCTTTGTATCATTGGGGTGTGCTGCTATCTTAGTTCCCATGCTTATCTGTTGTCTCTAGTGAAAGCAGCAGGGTGTAAGACACCCCAGGCATCTGTGGCAAGCTCATCAGCCCCTGTCATTGACAATGTCATCAGGACACCTGCACGCTTGTCAGTGTTGCAGCACAACTGTCTCATACAAGACCATCACTGGTGTGTGGTTCCACACTGATTCAACCTGACAAAAGCCATAGAGTGAGGGGATCATGATTCTGAGCTAAAGAATAATGATGATCACCCATTGGCTCAAATATTAATAGTCCAAGCAATGCTACAGTATCAACCTTGCAGCTGATCTGCATATATGCTTCCTGAAGCACTGCAGGGCCATACATTCATCACATCACCCAGACATGAAAAAGGTATGAGTTCAGAATAATGGCTCAGCTGTGCTCAGAAGAATTGTTGGGTTGGAGTTAGGGAGGTGGTTGGATGGTGTGGCTGCTTAATTGTTAGACTAGGAAGTAACCCAGCCTAAGAGTGATGCTTTTGGGCAGGCAGGGGGTCAATTGCAGCCAGAGAGACTTGGTCTATCTCACATATTTGTTTCTGTATTGCAGTCCATTTCTGTGTTGCACTCCAATTTCTGTGTTGCAACCTCTCTTTGAGACATTTTTCCTTCCCACTGAAAAACATTGCATCCATGTTTCTGGTGTGCATTCCAATCTGGCTTGCAACCTTTTCATCCCCAGGGAACACCTTGTCCCAGGACCGTTGCCAGTTCTCTGACCGGCATGAATAGTGCCGCCCCCAATACCCTGATTGCCACCCGAAAAAATAACACCCATTGATCACGAAGTTCTCTGTCATGGGCTGGATATTGCAGCCCACCAAAAAGCTACCAGCTCCTCGTCCCCAGGCAGCTCCTCGTCCCCAGGCAGCTTGTCATCCCCAGGCAGCTTGTTGTCCCCAGGCAGCTTGTCATCCCCAGGCAGCTTGTCATCCCCAGAGAGCTTGTCCTCCTCAGGCAGCTCCTCGTCCCCAGGCAGCTCCTTGTCCCCAGACAGCTCATCATCCCCAGGCAGCTTGTCCTCCTCGGGCAGCTTGTTGTCCCCAGGGAGCTCCTCATCCCCAGGCAGCTTGTTCTCCTCAGGCAGCTTGTTGTCCCCAGGGAGCTCCTCGTCCCCAGGCAGCTTGTCATCCCCAGGCAGCTCGTCCTCCTCGGGCAGCTTGTCATCCCCAGGGAGCTCCTCATCCCCAGGCAGCTCGTCCTCCTCGGGCAGCTTGTTGTCCCCAGGGAGCTCCTCGTCCCCAGGCAGCTCGTCATCCCCAGGCAGCTTGTCCTCCTTGGGCAGCTTGTTGTCCCCAGGGAGCTCCTCGTCCCCAGGCAGCTCCTTGTCCCCAGGCAGCTTGTCATCCCCAGGCAGCTCGTCCTCCTCGGGCAGCTTGTCATCCCCAGGGAGCTCCTCATCCCCAGGCAGCTCGTCCTCCTCGGGCAGCTCGTTGTCCCCAGGCAGCTCGCCCTCCTCAGGCAGCTTGTCGTCCCCAGGGCTCGTCCTCCTCAGGCAGCTTGTCATCCCCCCCAGTCCCCACCCAGGCAGCTCCTTATTAGGGATCTCCTCGTTTGAGATTCCGGCACACCAGGGAATCGAAGGCAACGAACTGGCTGATAAACTTGCGAAGGAGGCAACAGGTAGGCAGCTACCAGGCAGAAGAGGACAGATCTTCAAAAGAAAGGTGCAGGTGAATTCACGGGATGGATCAGGATTGATTTCATCATGGGAAAAAGTGTGATGGCGCTGGCCCTACTATCAATTGGACTAAGTTGTCCCGAGTTACATGACTACATGACACGCTGGTATATATCTTGTTTACCCTTCTTGTGAATGGCCTTAAGTGTCTTTCTTTGACTGCCACTCCCAGGCCATATGGTATCTTCATTGATCTCATCAGGAACTCCGATCTCTCTGCGAATCAACGTGGCCAAAACTCTCCAGCTGAAGCAAGAGCTTTGCTTGCGTGTCAGCCTCTCAGTCAGCCTGGAGGTCATAATAAGCTAGACTATAAAGAGACTAGCGTACAAAGAAGATGAGGGCGCAGTTGAAAGAGCTTGGCGCCATGTTTTTCCATAGAATGGAGGTTGCTGAGGTAATTTTCGTATTCTGGAACTGACCATGGGGGAGTGGACTTTGAAGGTCGGATTGGAGACCAGAGAGAAGAGAGTGCTGATGTCACTTTTGATGAGCCAAAAAATTAAGCCTGCTGAGTTTCCTTCATGCAGCTCATTCTCTTGTGAATTAGTGGAAACTGGCTTCTGTCATCAGGCAACCATCCTTTATTTTGTTATGGTGAACCTTTTGCGCAGCTTTAGTTTGTGGTTCCACGCTCTGCTCTCCTGTCACTTGGCATCAACCAAGTCACCACAGCCAGCAGGACCTGATCTATCTTGCCTTCAGGCATTTTGGAAGTCCCCTGCTTTTGTTCCATAGTGCTTGCAACAGTGCTCATGGTTGGACCTCGAAGGTTTGAACCTTCAGGTTGGACCGGCCTATAGTTTTCCCGACTCACCTGACTATTATGGATGAGGATATGCGCAGCCCGCCTCCGCGAGTATCTCCGCCTTATGAATATTGACCAAAGTTTGTAAAAATCTGAACAGCCCCTGACAGGCTGAGGCAATGAAGTTACTCAATCCATGTCAAAGTGTTCTCAAGGCAGGACTTTGCATCCAGGCGCTGTTGCGTACGTGGCGTGCTTCAACCCCGCCTTCCCTGCTCTTAGCCTGCTTGCCATACCTTCTTCGCCTTGGGGGATATCTCTCAAGTCATAGAAAGGAAAATACTCCATAGAGTGTTGAGAGCACCCCTTCCTTACCTTTTCCAAGACTGGTTTATTTGACACTACTTAGAGCCAGTCCTCTTAATGTCTTAACAATGACTTTGCTTCTGATGCTAGTGAATGAGTTGCTTCTACAGATATTCAAAGAACTTGATGATATAGATGATATCCTGCATCTTGGACAAACATGCAAGCACCTATACAATTTACTGAAGTTTAGTCACAATCAGGTAGAGGTGTTCAAGGCTGTGATTGTATGTGTTTGCTCCCTCTCCACTACAGCTGCTGCTGACCATCATTCTCTTAGCTCCATGCTGAACATCACAAGTACAACCTCCACCTATGCTATCTGATAGAGGTGAACCAGCAGTACACATCCAGTTACTCTACCCATTAGAAATCACCACCTGCATCAAGCCAACCACAAAGCTCTGTTTTCTGGAGGTTGTATGCAGCCTCAGAGGACACCCTGTCTGATGACTTTACATGGTGCATTGTCTGCCATTGGCAGGGTCTGCAACTTCTCAAGGATCTCTACCTAAACCAGTCAATCCACTCTGTATTCTGCTGTTTGATCTTCCCTTATGATGATGAACACATCAGCAACAAAAACACACAGTATAATATATGTAATACACTAGCAGCAGAGAAGCCTCTGGCAAAGCTATCAATCAAGACATTCCAACAGTCCAGGACTCTATTCAACTTCAGGCAAACACAGCAATTCTATCAGGTTTTGACAGCTCATTGGTTTGCTGTTGAGGCCTTGTGTTTAGCTCAAGTATCAGCATACCCCACAGTGTCAGAGCAACTTAAGGTTTTTGCTCAGATAGCAGTTATTTGGCAGGAGGGTCACAGCAGGACACTCTCAGAATTCTTGAATATGGTGGAAATATGCAACTTTGTGTGGGGATTCCTGGGTCAAAAGATATTTAGCGACATTCAAGACTGCCCATCATGAATTCAAGAAGAAGAAGATATGGGTTTCTTTCCAGATGATGAGGAGTCTGAAAACAGAAAGTGGAATTATTTTGTCAAGTATACTCTTCAGTACTTGAGGCCTCCAAATATCATTGAGCTGCTTCTGCTATCTGTGTGAAATCAGTCCTGGCCTTCAAGCAAGCTGACATATCTGTGTCAGCTGGGGATTTTTGATACTTGAGCCAGCACTGCTCTAGTACAAGACCAGAGATCATCTCCTGACCCATGGTTCTCACTTGGGCTTGTTGAAAACAGTGCACTGCAATGGTTCAAGGAAATTTGCAGAGATTCTGATTCTAGTCTTGTTAATGCATGGAGGGAGTACCAGGAAAAATCATGGGCAAGCAATGCTTAAGAGAAAGTACTTAGCTGGAAAGAGTCAGATGAGTGGATTGTTAAACATATTGTGACAACAAACTCTTTGAACATGGTGCATAGTTAACTAGAGGATGAGGTTGTTGTGGCATAAGCTTTATTCTCTACCATTCACACACTTTGAATGACAAGGTAGTAATGTGCTGTCACTTAGTTATGCAGTTGGAGTTGTGCCTCTCTAACAAGGAGCTGAATATGAAGAGTCTTGACAGAAGTCATTCCAGAATGATGCCAAATCTAGCACTATTTAAAGTTTGAGTTTATCAGTAATATGATAAATATGATGAACCACTAACTACCTTCTGGATGTAGACTGTCATGAGCAGGAACACCAAATATAGGAGCAGGAAAACCAAATATAGGACACTCCATGAGTCTCTTAGCCCCCATCTTCATTCAGAACTGATGCTTCAGTGAGTTTCCCAGGATGTTCTCCAGAAACTGCTTCATGAAAAGAGCTTATGAGAGTTCTGCTCAGCAACTGTTTCAGTAAGACACAGCTCAACAGAATAATTATCAGCTTTCTTATAATCTTGATTGGCACCTGCTTTAACATATTTCACCACTGCCTCTTCAGCAGGTTCAGTGTGTTCTGCTGGTATCTCTTCAGCAGATTTAGTGTATTCTACCAGCATCTCTTTGGCAGATTCAGTGTATTCTACCAGTGCCTCATCAGCAGCTTCAGCATATTCCACCAGTTCTTTGTCTCTCTCTGCTTCAAGACATTCATTCAGTCCATGATAGCTGTATTGCCCGGCCTGACCATCTTTCATACAGGCACTCAAAAGCTTGTTGTTATATATATCCACCACAATCTTCATCAGAGTTCCACTCAGCAGCTCTTGAGCTTGTTCCAAGAATTGTTCCCATGTGAACACACTTCCATCAGCATCAAATGCTTCACCAAGTTTTGCTTTGAGATGACTGTAGAGCCATGCATTATCTTTTGACAGCTTCTCATACACCTCCCTTCAGATATCTAAGACATTGAAAGCTGATATCAATTTTCCAAATTTTGTAATATTCACTTTTGCATGTAGCACCAAGGAATGTAATTCATATGAGACTGCCATCTGATAAACAAGAACAGCCCTTCTGTATTCCAGTGACACTTTTTCAGAGTTTCATACATTCAGTCACCTCAGCATCTGGTATTTACTGATATAGAGAAAATGTACCAGTGTGTGCGCAATGTTCTTATCCAAGTCAGGTAGTTAAATGGTATGGTCTGTGTCTGGGTCTGGGCTGTAGAGATATGCACGCAGATAATATTTTGCAGCTTGGGACAACAGATCTGGGAACCTCACCAGATAAATATGTGGCACAGCATACTGGGCTGCCTCAGCCCCAGCAAGGAGGTAGTAGCTGCATCCTGTATATGGTTTATTTCTCAGTTAGACTGTAACTGTTGTGACTAGACAATAAAGAACCTACAAAAACTCAGGCCAGGTATCCTTCTCACTTTCAAGTTCAAAAGCTGTGTTATTTTGGGTGTCGATGCAGGGTAGTATTTCACTAGGCATAGCTTGCTTTGCTTTCTTATTCTTGCGTCCCATTGTGAAGTACTCCATCCAGAGTTAAGCGTGCACTGGTATTCAGAAACTTGAACAGAGCAGCAAAAGGGTTTATATCATTAAAGAGGGCTAGAATAATGGAGGCGGCCAGCCTTGTTGCATGGCGGACTGCAAATGGTCAGCTGCATATTCAGTTCAAATATCAATCAACCAAAGAGCATTGGTTAATTGTGCATATTTCAGAACTGCTGCTGATTCTCCTGCAAGTGCCCAAATTAGATATCACTGGAGCCTGACTACCCCACATCTGACTCAGACCCAGATGTATCAGAAGTTAGAATAATGATCTTCATTGAATTCTGTCCAGCGAATCCGCTTTAATTTATGACACTTATGACTCTTTGGTAGGATTCAGGCACCCCCCAATAAGCAGATGGCCACAAAAGGTTTTGACTTCTCTAGCCCTTCCCTTTCTGTGACCAAACAGGTATATCATAAGCACTCTTCTTAGCTACTGTAAGCCATTTCAGAGCAGCAAGTCATACAAAAGGGTCACTCTTGTCCACCTGACATATGAGTAATGCCACTCAGTTGATCTATTTCTCCAGCAGATTTTACCTATTTTGATATCTTTTATTGTTTTAGTGGTAAGACTGCTACACAACCATCTTTTGAGCAAGAACTAGTCAGATGTGCTGGATTCAGTTCCCAGTCACTGGCAGCTCAGATGCAGGAGGCAGAGAGTGTGCAGTCCATTTCTGTATTGCACTCCAATTTCTGTGTTGCAACCTACTTTTGAGGCACTTTTCCTTCCCACTGACTCCACTGTCTTTAGACCACTGTAGCTGCTAGTTGACAGACTTTAGGCCCCAGTGGTCAGGGGTTCTTGATTCATTCAGAGCCACAGACATCAGACTGATGACCTCTACTGCCTTTAGGCTGCTGTGGCTACTGGCTGAAAGGTTTTAGGCCCAAGCAGTCCATGGACCACAGTCCATAGACCAGCTGGGCTCAATGGCCACAGTCTTCAGCACAATGGCATGGGCTTATGTGCATCAGTCCCCAGCTCTTTGCCAGTCATCTTCAGATTTCAGACTGATGACCTCTGCTGCCTTTAGGCCTGTGGCCACTGGTTGAAAGATTTTACACTGTGATGATTGTATGTGTGGATCAGTGTGACAATAAATCTCTAGAAGAAATATACATGGAAAAGAGTACACAAGGTAAAAGGTCTGTATTCTGGCAACTATATACAACTTGTAAACAAGATTGCCACTGGCTTCCAGCAAGAGGTTTGCACAGTGACAGCCTTTTATGTGTGCTTGCAAGCACATGATTTAGTGTCTTGTAAGGACACATGCAACTTCCAGCAGCTCACAAGCTGAGATCTCTGGTCTTTACAGATGCTGTTTGTTCATGTAAGAGGTTTACAGCAAATTCTTACTGGTTTCCCCTTCTTGTAAGCCTTGGTCTCTTAAGATTGCTGTCTCATTAAAAATCTTCATGAGTAGAAAAACAAAAAACCTCTTGGGAAAAATAAAAATTTCCTCATAAGGAAAAGAGTACAGCCTCACTAGAGATGTGATATCAACACAACTCTAATAACACAACAGAACCCAATAATACAATAATATGTAGAGAGTCTCTATTGTTCTTGCTAGCCCTGTGTCACTATTAGATAATAAACACTAGCTTAAGAGAGAGCTTTCTCTTGCTTTCTCTTTCTCTTCTTTTCTTCTCTTTCTTCTCTAGCCTATATCACTATTATTAAGGTAAGTGAACCCTTCAAGCACTGCTTCATGTGGAAGATAGGCTCACAGGAGGTCTCTGATGTTCTGGAAGAAAAATAGCTTCACTTTAATGTTCCACACAATTGGCTGAAAGACCACAAGCTGGTGAGTTCACCCCTGGTTGTGTCTTTGCTTCACATGGCCATTAGATTTTGTCTTTATGTGGGGTTTGGTTTGCAGAGAGACTGATGCTTGCTAGCAGTTGCTGCCAGTATGCAGTCTTCTTCCCCCTTCTCTTGTAACTTGTCTCCACTTTTCTCCTTTGAGAGGACCCCCATCTCTTCTTTTGTGGATGAGATTGGGCCTTCAGTAAGTAGTTATAAGAAGTTTAGAAAGTGTTTACAACTGATAGTTCTAGAGTATTGTTGTTCTCTCTTCTCTCTCTCTATCAGTTGTTACTATCCTCTCTGCATCAGCTCAAGCTGTAAGTGCTTCTTGTGAGCTGACATTAATTCATGTACTGATGGAGTTAGAATTCTGCTGCTCTGCCTCCCTCTCTCACAGTTGTTGCTCCAGCTCCAGCCAGAAATGTGAGTATTCTCTATTATATTTCAGTTTACAGCTAATCTTCTTTAGATTGTTGTTGTTGTTCTCTCTGCACCAGCAGGGTTTGTGGGTGCTATAGTTCTACAGAGTGCTTGAGACCATCCAGCACTCCTCTCACAAGATCAATAATAATGGTTCCAGATCACCTTCACCCAAATGCCACCAGCTGCTACTTTTACTGATGTATCACAGGCTAATCCAGTAGTTCTTCCAGGCCTCCCCCCCCACACAGGGGTACAAGCTTTGTCTGTCTGTAAAAGAGCATGATATCACAAGTTTATTCAAAGGCCTGTGCTTATTGCTGGTTTGAATAATTTAAACCAGTTGACTGTACATGCTCAGCTTTGTAAGAGAATTCTTATAACTCAGGCTGGAGCTCAGCCATTATCTGAACAGAAGTGCTCTGTCTGCAAGAGAGCTCAGCAAGACTATAATAATATAGTCTTCACAAAGTGCATCTCTGCAGGCTTGGGTCAAAAATGTAACAACTGTCTATACTATAGGCACCTTGCTTGCTCTTTCCAGCAGTGAGATTATAGGTAGTTGTTACAGGTTTTTGCAGAAGAAGCTGAAGGCTCTAATTACATAGTCTTAGTTTAGTTTTTTCTTCTTTTGTTTTGAAATCAATTGAATTCAGTTTAGTTTGACTATATCTTTTCTCTCTCTAACTCATTTTCTAGTTCTACTATCTCCATTCATCTCTTTCATGAACCAGGCTTGTCTGGGTTCCTACTATGAAATTGTTGGAGTAGCTTTCTCAGTGGACAGACATTGCTTGTGGGAACTCATGTCTTGTTCTTCTCATCATCATATTCTTTCCAATGTACTCTGTACTACAGCTCACAACCCTCTCTCTTCAAGTTAATTATCTTGTGGACCCAGTACTTCTTTTCATTCTTGTCTGCCTTGCAAATTTTGTGATGAGGTGAGCTATTGATTCCTTTGCAGGTCTTGTCTTTGTGGAGCAGGAATACATGGAAGATATTATGAGTTTGCAGACCTGGAGGCAGTTCCAGTCTGTAGACTCACAAGCCTATCTTCTCCACAATTCTACAAGGCCCATGCCTCAACAAATCCAGTTTTTTGTTAGGCTGTGTGGTCTTGATATTGTGAAAGTTGAGCCACACCTTGTCTTCCACCTGGAAGGCCTTCACAGTGTGCTTCTGGTTGTAGTACTTCTTCTGGTAGGCTTGTGCCTTTTTGAGTGATTTCTTGACCTCTTTACAGAGCAATCTTATTGCCTCCATCTGATCTCTTGAATCCTTGCACACATAGCTATACTCATCAGGGTCCAAGAATTCTGTTCGCGGATTCAACTCATATGTCAGCTGGAAAGGTGATTTCTGTGTGGAAGCCTGTTATGAGTTATTGTACATGAACTCAGCTATTGGCAACCACATTACCCAGTCATCTTGATTATAATTGACATAGCTTCACAGGTACTGCTCCAGCACACTATTCAGTCTCTCAGTCTGACCATCAGTTTGTAGGTGAAATGCTGTGCTCATTGCTCTTGCAATCTTCAAGATGTGAGTTAAATCACCCCAAAATTCACTCATGAACAGGGATCCTCAATCTGTTACTATGCTTGCAGATAATCCATGCAATCTCACTATTTCACAAATAAAGAGATGGGCCAATTCCTCTGATGTCAGCTTCTTTGTTGTAGAAATAAAGTGAGCCATCTTTGTGAACCAGTCCACTATAACCAGGATACAGTCAAACTGCATCTTCTTAAAATTCAGGCTTGCAGGAAGATCTGTAATAACATTCATGCTAATGGATTTCCAAGAGTAATTTGAGATTGATAAGAGTGATAATTCTTCTTGAAGCTTTCTGCAAACTTTTCTTGAGCTCTGGCAAACTCCACAGACTTTGCAACACTCCTTCACCAGTTCTCTCATTCTTGATTAAAAGTATTTGCAAGCTATAAGCTCATACATTCTTGCTGTAGCAAAATACTCTATAAGAGATAGGTTGTGATAATATCTAATCAGCTCTATTCACAGAGCCTCATTCTGAGAGATGTATATACAACTATTTCTATAGAGGATACTCTTCTTCTCTTTCCACATCATGAATTTTTTTGTGCCCATCTTAATGTCTTTGCAGATCTCAGCTGCATAGTCATCACTTTACAGTAGATTTGGCAGTGATGTCAACAGGTTGGAGCTGCTCTTTTCATAAGAATTCTTCTTACAGATCAGGTCTTTGATCTTCTGGATCTGTATTGCAATCTTCTTTACTTTGCATGTGCCTTCCAAGACAACCTTTGCAAGTAGTTTCTTGATCTTAATCTGAAGCTTTACAGAGATGAGTTGCACATTCTCATCTTCTCCCTTCCCTCTCTGGTTAGAAGAAACTTGGGCTGTCAGTTTCAACTTTTCTGTAGTCTCTTGCTTTTTCATGAGCATTACCCTTAGTTAGTTTGCAGTCTTGTAACCCTTCTTATTATCTAGACCAGTCTTCTTAGTATAGTCAGATCTTTACAAGGGTTCATCTGCCAGATTCTTAGTTTCTTTCACATGGTCAACTATGAACCAAAAGGCTGTCAGACTTTGCACCCAGTGGACCTGTCTTTGCAAGAGGTCTTGAGCAGTCTGGAAGTAGCACAAGCTATCATGATCTGTAAGAACTTAAACTGGTGTTCACAAGTCTTCCAACCAGCAGCACCAATATCTAAATGACTCCACAATTGTGAGCAGT